ACCTAATTGTTTCCACCTCTCGCCGCCACATTAAGGAATCAAATAGAATCTGGAATGAAGTCACAGGGCCTCCTCTAGTGAGGTGCTCAGTACCTGCAGTTCCTCAGGAAGGGCAAAGGGAACTAGGAGGTTTGGCATCTTTGAAAATCAGATTACACTTTTTGATACCTATAGATGTATTTAGGAATAGAACATTACCCATCCTGCTCTCAAATTGTTGACATGATTGTAGAGGATTATACTGGGAACTCATGCCTACTGGTGAGCAGGCACTCACATGAATAGTCCCATTAACTTCTTGCAGTTTGTGCCAGAGTTTATTTCTCCCAGGTGAAGTGTTTATGCATGTGCATGGGACCACAGCATGCTGAGGTGGGGTAGAGCAGCCCTGGGCTGGCAGGGGGTCTGGTGGGTCCACCCCAGGCGCTGGGTGGCAGCATCAGGTGGTGGAGGGGCTGGCTAGGGCATGAGGGTGCTACAGTGTGGGGCTAGCTGGCAAGCAGCCCCCACACTGTAGCATCCTCATTCCCCAGCCAGTTCCAGTCAACATGAGTACAACACTGTGTACTCATGTGTTGTGGCATTGTAAATCATTCTGCCATAGGATAGTATTTGTCCTGGACAGGACTATCCTGCAGCAAAGTTAATTCATTTACTGCGCCCTACTATGGGCACATGTATAGATGGTGATGCTTTACTGCACAGCTAATTAGTCAACTTGCAGTAAAGCGCATATGTAGATGAACCCTGTGTGTCATTAACTGGATGAGGAGCAAAATGCAGGAATTGGGAATTTGAACAGCCTTGTTCTACACTGTTCACAGCAGCTGCTTAATGGGTGGCTGTGGCTCATGCTTTTGCTTTCTTAGCTTGAGCTTCTCTCTTGCAGGCTCATTTCCCACACACATTCCTCTTTACTCCTTTTCCCAACTCTTGCTTCCCATCCCAATCACACATACAACCCAATGCCTCTTGCTCTTCTGAAATACAGATTTTAGAGTCTTGATTTTTTTTTTGCAAAATGCTGGCCCTTCTGGAGTGCATGTGTCCAATCTGCTTCTCTCCCAAACGCCAGTGTTAATCAGGAAACAGCATCCACAAGGGAGGTGAGGAGTTGGCTGGTGAAGGTGTGGGGGAAGATCACCACAGGTACAATTCCTTACTCCCTGCCCCTTGGGGGCACTGCAAATATTTACCTCCTGTTGGATGAGCACGATACTCAGATGTCAGGTTATGCATTAAAGTTGCACGCAGCCTTAATTCGTTTGGCTGTTGGCTGACTCTTCTACTCCAGTGAGAATACAAGCCACAGTTATTGTCTGTCTGGGAGAGTTTCATTAACAATGTAAAATCAATGTAGGGTGTTTGTTTAAAAGGCAAAAGTTTACACAGCTTGCAGGAGGGATTTTAATAGAAAGTTAAATCACTGCTGCTCCCTCATCTCGGTACTACAGATGCCAGCTCTCCCCTGGCCCCCAGTTCCCTTCCTTTACCAGGTCCCCTGTAGTGCCTATAAAAGTCTAGAAATCCTCTGTTATAAGTCAGTTTCTGCCCATTATAACCAGAAACAAACTGTGCTGAATTTAATGTTTGGAATCTGTTTTTATGACTGCAGCTGGCTTACTCAAAGAACAAGCTGACACATTGTGCTTTTGAAACATGGCCTGGCATTGCAATGTATGTTTGCACATGTGTACACACTTATGAGGTGTGTAAATATGTGAAGGTGTGCCTGTGGGCTTGTGTGGGGACTTGGAACAAGTGTTTTTGAGGGTACCATGCATGGGATAGTGTGGTTCAGGTTGTATGGGTGCTTGCCTATGGCTGTATATATGTAGGAGGATATGAATGTAGGTGTTTATGTCAGGGCACTCTTAAGTGTTTGCATGGAGAATGGGAGCCTATAGGGATGAAATAGTACATGTGCAGTCCATAGAGTTATATATGATTGAGCAGACAGGTGCTTAGCCATACTAATCTGCAGTCAGGCAGGAGGTAGGCCAGGGTCACACCTTAGGACATCTATATGCGTGCTCCAGGGTGGGGAGGGGATGCTTTACTTAGAGTGGCTCTGAGAGCCGGTCTAATTAAAGCGCTCACAGCATCACGTGTATTCAGTGTCCCATGCTTCAAAATGGAGGCAGGAGCACTTTAACTACAGTTCATTCAACAAGCTTTAATTAAAGTGTCTCTGCTGCTATTTTGAAATGTGAGGATGCTGAATACACATGACATGGAGGCTGCTGAGCATGCTATTTAGCATGCTTCAGCAGACTCAGACTTGCAGCAGGCTTGCTTAATTGAGCCTGCTCTGATGCAAGCAGAGGTCTGTCACATGTAGTACCGTAGCAAGGGGAGGACGAGAGGAGTGAGTGCCTTGGGGCACCAACAGGCAGTGCCCAGCTGGGGCGGGGTGTGGGATGGAGCTGCGAGTGCCTTATTTGGGGGGGGGGGCACGGGATGGGGGAGGGCAGCTCCTGCCATTGCATGTACTCCTGGGCAAGCATGGAGGTGGGAGGTACCCCCCACATCTGTGCATAGGGTGAGGGCAGGCTGCTGCTGCGGGCTTTGCCCCAGGCGCCAAATTTCCTTGCTATGAGACTGGTCACGTGTATTGGTGCCCTTCAAGACTAAGAGGTTCAGAGAGCTACGAGCTTTCATTGGCAACACGTACTTCATCAGGTATTATATGTTACTGAGGCTGACTATAGCAGTGCAAGAAAACTCTTTATTCTCCTACTGAGAACAGTCCCCTGCTTTGGCTTTTCTCCTTTCCTCTTCCATTCTCTCTCCACTTTTTATTGCTCCTCTTCCACTTCTCTCTTGGTTTTATCCCACATTCTTTTGTTCTCCATTCTCTCTTCCCTTCTCCTGGCCTCTGTCCTCCCTTCCCCTTCTCTCTTCCTCTTCTCCCCCTCCCTCCCCCCGCCACCAAAAAGAATTCCTAAGGGATTTTTTTCATCTCCAGAATCAGTGGAGCCCAATGTCAAAACCCTTCATTTTTTTTCTTTACAAAATTAAATTCTTCTTTTCCAGCCAACCATAGTGGGAATGGAGGTGGATGCCCATGTGTGAATGAGGGTGGTGATGGGAGGACATAGGGGTACAAATGGCATGAGGAGAGGGTGGACATGTAGTATGCATATGTTTGAATCTACATGGTGGCTGAGGGTGTATGTACATATGTAAGGAGAGGGTGTCTGTGGCTGACTATAAGTTCTTGTCCCCAGCACTCCTAGATTACTGGCTTGTTTCTCCAATCCTGGTACCTGGGCAGCCATGTTGGAGGGCTAGTGCAAAGCTTCATTTCCTAGGTGCTTGGCAATTTTTGAGCTGTCCTGATATACCTGCTCTTAGCCCCCATATCACTGTAGCCTTTTCTCTCCTCCAACTCCTGTTTTCTTCCTGCCTCTCCCTTCTATTATTCCTCCTTTTCCCATTGCACCTCATTGTTAATTTTTTCTCCCTATAGCTCTCTTTCATCTACATTTCTTTCTTCTTTCCCTTCTCTCTCTGCACTTCTCTTCTCTTTATTTTCCTACTGAGAACAGTCCCCTGCTTTGGCTTTTCTCCTTTCCTCTTTCATTCTCTCTCCACTTTCTTTTTATTACTCCTCTTCCCCTTCTCTCTTGGTTTTATCCCACATTCTTTTGTTCTCCATTCTCTCTTCCCTTCTCCTGGCCTCTGTCCTCCTTCCCCTTCTCCACTCCCCTCCCTCTGAAAAACACTTCCCTGTGTGAAGCTGTTGGCTGCTTTCCAACCTCTAGTGAGATGAAGGATCCCTGGCATGAGCTCAGCTCTGAGTTCCACAGGGCACTGTAACTGCTGGTACCAGAGCTATAAAATCTTTAGTGTCTCTAGGAATGATGACTGTGAATTCTTCAGAAGTCCCACCATGGGTGTAAAGATTTCTCCCTTCCTTCCCCAAGGCTCCATGAAAGGGGCTCTGCAGTAAAACAAGCAGCTCACACCTCCCAGAAATCCCAGATACGAACGCATTGGCTTTCGTCTAGGAAAGAGATGCCAGTAGCTGAAGACCTGGGGCCTGATTCTCACACTGAAATTAGTGGGAGCTCTCTGTATCTCACAGGGCAGGGAACTGGGTCACCCTTTGGCCACTTGAGTTTTTCACTTAAAAAAAAAAAAACACAGTTAGTCTAAAGAAAGTTTGAGAGACAGAGAACTTGCTTCTGAGTGTTGAGCAAACAAAAGCACCTGGAGAACATGTCCCTAGCCCTCAAAGGATTTTGCCATGGCAATGAGCTACAATACGTATGAGGATGGGGTATGCCTTAACAGGTGTGCCATGGAAAAAATTTATTAATGTAAGTGCACCTTGGGCTGGAAAAGGTTGGGAAACACTGGTGTAGACATTCCCTCAGAGTTGTGAGGCAATCAACATTGTACTGGGGAGGTCTAATATAGCTTTACAGTCAGTGATTCTGAATCAAGTGAGTCCAAACCTATGTAAAAAAAATCCAAAAATACTGTTATCTTCTTCCAGGCTTATAAGTGTACCTGAGATCAACCTGTTCAGTAGATCTCTTCCTGCCCCTCATACCACTGCCCAGTATTAAGAACCTGCCACGGGGACAGAGCTGAGGCCCTCCTAAGAGAGTACAGAATCTATCTTGCTCTCCCATACCTACCTGGCTGAAACCTGCCTATCCTCAGTCAAGACAGCAACCATGGCCCAAGGCACCCAGGGAGAGAAGCTGTAGAGTAGGAAGGGGCCATAACAACACAGTCATTTTTCTGACCCTGAGCATAAATATCAGGGAGTTGGACCACCTGGCTTCTATTAAAACCACCATGAGACTAAATTCCTGGGAACAGCCAGCCAATGAAAAGTCTGGAAAAAAGACAGCTGGGATGATGAGTTAACAGGGGAATTGCAGCAAAAGTCAGATTGTGCACACAGCTATCAGCTGAGTTGATCCGATGCTGCTGTGTTGAATCCATATCTTAACCTTAACAGCCTAATTAGGGAAAACCTTACTAAAGCTGGGTCTACTCTTCACAACAGGCAACTGTTCAGTGTGTAGCAAGAACTGAGCAAGACATTAGTAAATGTCCTGTGTTTGCCTATATTTTTTTAATCTAAGAGTAAAGATCAGGGGGTTTCTGGATCAGTTTTTCTGTCTTATAGGTCACAGTATGGATTTGTTTCAAACAACAAGTGAAGATGACTTTGTGGTTCATGTGTCCATCCCCTATGTATATGTTTATCCATAGTGGGGAGCCCAAGACTGGAGCTGGCAGGGGTGCTGCAGGGCAGGACTGAGGGGTACTGTCAGAGCTGTATAGTAGACAGCACGGAGTTTTGTGTGTCAGGGATTATAGGAATTTGGCAAAGCTGCATGGGAGGGGGGGTGCTCTGGAATAGACAGGGGTGGCTCAGGGCAGTGGCACTGGAAGAATTGTGTGGGGAGCCCAGAGCTGGAAAAGCAAGGGAAGCTGGAGGGCAGGCACAAAGGGCACCACTGGAGCTGTGTGGGGGATAGCAAGGAGTTTTGTATGTCAGGAATGAAGTGAATTTGGCAGAGCTGTGTGGGAGGCTTTCATAGCACCTGGCTCTCTCTGGCTACCATTAGAACAGTAAACTCACTCAAAATGTAAAAAGACTATAATGAAAGTTGCATGCCTCTTTTGTTCTGCCTTTTTCCCTTGCCCTTGCCAAAGTCTGCACTCTCCCTTACTTTAAGAGCTGCAAAGCAATTTTCCACCTCCCCACTTAACTGTGAACATTCACAGACAGCCCCCTTTCATCTTCCTTTATAACCTTCATGCTGGTGGGGTGCTTTAAGTGTAGCCAAGCTTCCTCTCCTGCTGTTGTTACCTCCACAGTGTCTTTGGGGTTTTCAGCATTCCAGGCCTATTGTTTTCACAGCACCATAAGGCTGAACCACGGGAGCTGATCCATAATCATCCTGTTGGTTCATCGGTACCCCCCAGTATTGTCTGAACCTAATGCAGTTAATCTATCTGTTTGGCAATAGAGGGCATGGGGCAGGGGGGCAGATTCTATTCCACTTAGCTGGTGTCTAAAGTGGACTTAAGTGTCCAAGTGGGATTCTATTCTAACCTATTCAAGTCATGAAAAAACAATTAATGCATCTACTTTTGTAACACACTAACATCTGACCCTTAAGACTGAGCCACAGAAAAGCAGCAAGGAGTAGGAGGACCCACCCATCTTTTGCATCTGTTTTTCGGGGCCTTGAGTGAGGTGAAATAGGTGCCTAAGTCCACTTAGATACCTAATAGGTGGGATAGAATTTAACCCTGGATGCACTGTTGTACCTTCTTTCTGTGATGGGTAGAGTTGTAAATCAGGCATCAGGTGAGCAAATCAGTGTAGCATAATGGATAGAGCAGTAGGCCAGGATTTACAAGACCTAAATTCTAATCCTCACTGTACACTGGCCTATTTGGTGATCTTTGGCAAGTTACTTCCCAGGGTTGTGTGCCTCAGCTTCCCTATCTGTAAAATGGGGATAATACCAACCTCATTTGTAGAGTGCTTGGTTGTCTGTGGGTCAGTAAAGAGCTTGATAGTATTGTCTTTAATGTAGGTATAATAGCCACCCTTTTGGCCAATATACAGTGGATTGAACTGTGGATGCCCAGATCTAAAAGTATGAGTTGCTCCAGCTTGAACTCTATAGGTAAGGACTGTTGCAACTGGTATCTTCTATGGATGAGCACAATGGGGGACTTGTAGCACACATTCAAGCCAGTGGAGGCTACCCAAGCAGGTTAAAAGACTCCCTAAGGTTTACTGAACCTCCTCAGTAAGATACATTTTCCCAGTACTCATCTCTGAGTTTGTCTGATAACGGTCCTGGCTTACATGACTTCTGTGAAGTCAGGAACTTCTGAAGAGCTACCTTTGAAATGTCCCAACTACTTCTCAGGTAGGTGGGTGGAAGCTTACTAGGATAACAAAAGGTCATTCTTCAGGTGAGGGGCAGCACAACAGATCACCATGTCAGAAACGAGGGATCCAGAGAAAGACACAGAGCAGCAAACCCAATCCCATGACAAGCCTGTTCCTCTGAGGAGTCTTGGAGCTAAATATGCCAGATCAACAGTCCTGGATATTTGAAGTCCTGTCTTAACTCTTGTCCAGGCCCCCACACAGAAACAGTGTCAGCTTCCCCATGGTGTTATGTATGAACGAACAGACACAGATTCTCTCTAGAGATGAGAGGGTAATTCAGCATCTGTGGCCCATCAACACTTGACTTCTCAACTGAGACTATCAGAGAGAGGACCCAGTAAGTGGAAACTTAAGTGATGGTGTTTGTGATGTGTCCTCTTGGTGGCCGGAAGCCACAAAACTCCTTTCCACTAGGCCACCAAAACAAGTATTAGATGTTAATGACTTTCGATCCCTCCTGACCCAGGTTGGCTTTGAAACGGCGACCCAGATGCCAAAGTCACAGTTGCAATGTGGCTTTGTAATGACATGATTCTAGCCTGAATTCCAGGCACAGGGGCTTTGACACTTCTGTTTGTTTTCTTATTTGAGAAGTTCAAGAGAAGCTCAAGGCTTAAAAGCAAACCCTTGAAAGCAAAGCATTTCTAATCACATAAAAGTGTCTGTGCAGGCCAGGGCTGAAGAGGGGGTTTGTGACTTTAATCTTTGCATATCCCTTTCTTTCTTCAAGCATCTCTCTCACTCACTCGCCTATATACTCTCTCTCTCTCGCATACACACACACTGCTTTCCCCATCTTCAATAGCATAATACTCCAAGAGAGAGGGAAGCAGAGGAGGAGGAGGAAGCCAGCCTGCCTGCCCGCCCCCATGCTGAGCCCAAGTAGACTTTGTGAGAAAGCTTCTCTCCATCTGCAGCCCAGCCCGGTGGGAGTCAATTAATTCTGAATAACCTAAACCGACAGAGGTATTTGCATTCACAACCTGACTGATGACCGTATAAAATTGATTTATGAATTGAAGTGCTTCCCCTCCCCTTATCCCCGATTCAAGCCATAATTGATTATATGTGCTGCAGCGAAATTAAAGAAAAGAAAATTAAAAAAAGAAAAGGAAAAAAGGGAGGCCCCACAGATGCAGCTCTATATTCTCAAGGTTTCCTGGGATTAGCTGATCTATTCATCACTTATCATTTTTTATTTAAAAACTTGCTTCCTCTCTCCCCCTCCAAGCCCCCCACCCCTTCCCCAGCCACCACCACAACCTTCCGCTCCGGGATGCAGCCCAGTGGCTACACAGAGGGAGAGTGATGGGAAGATACAGTACAACTGCCAGCAAACTGGCAGTTTGGCTTTGGAGTGGAAGGAGAATGAGTCTTAAATCCCAGATCCTTACTTTTAAGGAAGCAGAGCTCACTCTCAGGGCTGTGTGTGGAGAAATAACACTGGAAGTCCTCTGCTGGGCTGGGATGTGAGCATTAGCTTAGCTCTATGCATTGTGAATGGCCTCATTGTGCATCTTGGTAGGATGGGAACCTCACTTCACCCTTCTGCCCAACAATCTCTAGTATTAGCGACACTTTTATATAGTGCTTTTCATCCACAAATAGCCAAGTGCAGATGAAAAAGCATGTAACAATAGACGCATGGGAACTGTCAGATTGGGTCAGACCAATGTCCATGTGCTCAATGTCCTGTCACCACCAGTGACCAGTGTTAACTGCTTCAGGAGGGGACATAAGAAAACCTCCTGTAGGAATGTATAGGACAATCTGACTGGAAGAAACATTTACTCCTAACCCTCAAAAATAGCAGTTGACCCAAACCCTGAAACAGGATGGTTGATGTCCCTGCTAATTTTCTTAAATTACTCTTAAAACCCTAGATATTATCATAAAATCAAAGAGAAGTAAGTTCTGTTCTATTCTTTTCATTTACTCATTTCTTCATCATTCAGTATCATTATTCCCATTATACAGAGGGGAAAATGGAGATACAGAGAAGTGACATGACTCTGTCAAATTCATGAAGCTAGTCAGAAGCAGAGTCAAGGCTTAGCTGTAGGGCACCTGGCTCCTACTCTAGCTGCCTTTTCTTACCGCCTCTTTCTAAACTGTTTACAAACATCAAAGTGTTAAGCCTCTCAGACAGAGGCAGATGGGGTTTTACCAGGATGGAGTAAGGCAAATTCCATACCATATGAAATGCACTTGGGCTAAGTTTTAATTTCAGTTCCAATACCCCACAGAGTTCTCTCAGGCTCATGGTTCTTTGGAACAAGAGCGAAGAAGTTTGGATCAAATCTGTGCTCTTCCAAAAGTCAGGAGGGTTTGGATCCTGGGTTTGATTTGGGTTCATGCCTGGCAAAGAAGGTCCTTAATCATATATTTTTGCATGACTATTGTTAATTTATACATTATTATTATTGTCATCATTATTAAATATCCCTTTGACAGAGAAGAATACCAATGTACACAAAAAAGTCATTTTGAAAAATATTGTGAGTAGCTGGAAATCAGTATCCTCTGAATCCCAGCAATGACACTGCTAGTGTGATGCGATCACCTAAATCTAACTGAACACAGATAGAGGTTCCTAAAGTGCCTATCATCACAGTCCATAAATTCAATGATGAGGATGTGTAAGGCACAAAAACATCTAGCAGGACTATATCAAGTTTCTGTGCCTGATGTGAACAATCATCTGCACAGGGTGGGAACTCAGTAAATGTCAAATGAAGGTTTTCCCTTAACTTCTTAGAAAGTCTTTTAGTGAGGAGGTGACTGAGGGATCTTTGCACTAAAGCAGGGGGCTAGGTGTTGAGTTATAGGAGAATCCACTTTGCCTGTGGCTAATAGGCCTAAGGGTCTGCAAGAAACAGGTACAGTCAAAGGCCAAATCCTTTCTATATCTCCACCTCCCCGCACTGCCCCCACCGCCGTGAATGAGGCATTATGTGAAACAGACAGCAGGCTCATACTGATGCATAAAGCAGGTGCAC